CTACACCCTTCAAAGATTATTTTCCTATTTATTTGCACTAAATCATATGAATTACATTCTTATTCATACAACCTCATGTGATCTTTTTCCAATTGTTGACTGAGACAATAACTCCAAGTTCATACATGTTCTCACAACAAATTTTAAAATCTAGATGGGCCAGATCAAGAAGTAAATGAAGTACATGGAATTAAATCATCACAACTTCTTCCTTCCAACATTAAAGATTATCACAACTTCTTCCAACATTAAAGATTAATACTCTCCATAACTTCTATTTACTTATCATTTTAAGGAGCATTTTAAGGAGAAAGATAAAGAAATCATTGTCAAACCAACAAGAAGTCTCGATTAAAACTAAAAATAGTTTAAAAACAAAGATATTAGCTTATCTGAAATCTTCCACCAAACTCTTAAAGTTCCTTTGAATCTCTTCTCTCTTACAACACTCTTAACTCTCACAATAAAACTAAAAATAAAAATGATAAAGTAAATTTGTGGTTCTTGAAAAATCTCTCCAAAAGTTTCTCCATGAACTATTTCAAGAACTTCTCAAGACTTCCCCCTTTTTTTCTCCCAACTTCCTTCTTTTATAATTTTCTAAAAAGTGCCTTGGTATCTCTTCAAAATGTGTCCAAATTTGATGTATTTTCTAAGGGATGCCTCCTTTCACAAGTCTTTTAACCATATTTTTGTTTCTGGTGGTCATCCCTCTTTAGCCAATAGATGCCTCAAATGTCCCTTCAAAATTTGACAAAATGAATTAACCCATCAAATAACTGCCTCTGGCGCTTAAGCGCGGGACCTCTAGTGCTTAGGCTCGGCCTTCTCTGTTTCACCGACGCTTAAGCGTCGGACTTGGCGCTTAGGCGCCAAAACACTTTTGCACCATTTTTGCATTTTTGCTCTAAATTTGATCCTTTTTTACTCCTAGCATTTTTCACTTTTTTACTTCTACCTGAAAGAAAAACACACAAATACCTTCAATTAGAGAGCAATATCTTAAGAATAGGTATAAAAAAGTGTCTAAAAATACTATATATTTTAGATGTATCAAAATCCCTCAAACTTAAATTATTACTTGTCCTCAAATGACACTTCAATCTTTAAAAATTAAATAAGTATAATATGTATATGAGTTTCTTTAGGAGTTACTAATATTTAGATTTAGAAATATAGTATTCCAATTTAGAAAAATATTTAGTAAATGAAACCAACTTAAAGTTTAGAAATTTTTAATGTTAAGAAATATGAAAATATGAGTGCCTATCTAATTCAAAAAATATTGTAGATTTTCCAAATATAGAATTTAGTCATTTTAATATCTCCACTTAAAAAAAGTTTATTAAGAATAGTTTTACTTACTATATTATATCCTTAAGCTTAAGAGTTTCTCAAGTCTTATACTTTAAAAAGATCAAATGTGGAACCAATTTTTGATTTGACACTAATCCTCAAGCTTTTTCTCCCTTATTTTTTTTCTTTTTCTTTTTCTTTTTTCTTCCTCAGGAAAGGATTACTATATATGAATAGCCCTTTTATAGTTTTGAATTCCACTTCTCCTTTCCTAAAGCAAAATCCTGATATAAATCTTTTTACTTATAAATATAATAATAGTTTTGAAAATTATTTTGAATAATAAAAATTTAAGTTTTAAAAATAAAAGTCTAAATTTATAAATTTTTCAAAAATACAATTTTTCTTAATAAAGATAGTTACACTATATTTAACATTTTCTACACTAAAAATTTTTAACTAAAAGTTTTTCTTCATTACTATGAATATTAACTAAATTTTCTTACTTATTTCTATAATCAAATTTTACTTCCCTAATATAACTCCATATACATGGTCATTTTTCTTTTCAAATCAAATTCACCTGTAGCACATTTGAGAACAAATAAAATTCAAGTTTTGAAAATATTTTTTATCCCCCCCCCCAACTTAAATTTTTAACAAGATTAAACAGTTTAGCAGCAGATACATATAAGCAAGAATAAAAATTGAAATAGGAGTAAAATTAATTTTTGATCAAATTTATATCATTTTAATTTAAATTCAACATGTAGAGATTCATTAGACTTCTAAGTAGTGGATACAGACATAAAAAAAAACAAACACACTAACTTTGATTTCACAGTCTAAACATAAAAACAAACACACTAATAAGATAAAAGAAAAATACAGGATAACAATTTTCTGAAATTAAAGTTTAAAATTAAAGCTAGCAAGATTTTCAACTTTCAAAAGACATAGAAATAAGTTCAATCCTAACTAACTAAAACACATTACTCAACACACAACAACAATTACTACCATAGAATTTAAAACAAAATACTAACAAAACACAAACATCACAATAACAATTAAACAAAAAATCCAACAC